AGCCGAGGGCCTGATTTGGGGGCACCCTAACACTCACTCTCACACCTGCATACCATGAGTGGGTGCAAAGCTCGCATGGCTCAAGGATCGGTACCGGGGGTGAGGGGGTGCAGCTGTTAGGGACGGGGGAGGAAGGCTGAAAGCGAGGCGAGGGCTGTGCCCGCCGCCCGGCAGAGCTGGCAGAATCCCAAGTCCCTCTAGGCTCCCTGGGCTGGGGCCTCCCCAGCCCCTGTAGCTCCAGGAACCAGGAGCCCCCCTCCTCCCAAGGTCAACTCAGCCTGACTTTCTCTTCTGCCAGGCTCCAGGGACAGGGGGTGGGTGGGGTTGATGGGGAGAGGGGTGGAAGTGTGGCCGCAGGGCGCCTCTCCGTGCAGGAGTTCCCTGCACCTGTTCAAAACTGCCTTCTCTCCCAGATGCTGTTTTGAGGTCTGCCTACCAGCAGTGTCTAACCTAGGAGGGGTGAGACCAGCCTCCTCGAGGCCCAGCTCTGGAACTACTGTCCCTTCTGCCCCTGTTAGACCCCACCCTTGACCGCCAGCTCCGAGGACAACCTCATCACAGGTGCCTTTTCCCTCGGGCTCCGTGTGAACGTGGAAGAGCAAGGTGACGCCCGGCAAGGTGGAGACACGCCTCGCCTCGCAGGTCCTGCCAGTTTTACTTCTTAACAAGTTCTCCAGTCCAGCCCCTCCTCCCCAGCCCTCCCCACCTCAGCCCTCCTCTGTCCCCGGGCTTCCGTCCCCACCCAACCCCCATCCCTCCGCAATTCCTAATCTTTCCTGCATCCGCTCTGAGCCTCTCCTGCGGCCCTCGGAGAGGTCACTGCCACCTTCTCACCACATTCCAGCCCCCTCTCTTCTCACACCTGCTTTCAATCCACATCCAGCAGGAAGCCTCTCGTGTCCTTATTTCTGCTGAAGCTGTGCCTTCTGTCTGGAATACCTTCTCCCCATTGTCTGAGAGGCTGATTTGAATCTGTCCTTCAAGACTCAGATCAAGTGCCACCTCTGGGAACCGAGGTGCCCTGACTCCCGCTCCACCCCGCATCGAGCTCTACCACTGAAACCACTCTCTCTGGCGTCCGTCTCCCCCTGGACCCCAACCTCCCTGAGAGCAGGGCTGCGCATCTTTGTTCTAGAAGTGAAAACACAGTGCCTGCTCTCCAGAGCAAAACCCAAGAGGCAAGCAAGGCAGAAAACGCAATTTCAAGCAGAAACTGGCTGCAAATTAAGAAGGCAACACAATCAGTCTAAGAGAAGATGGCTCATTAGTTCAGAAAATAACTTGAGGGCTTCCCTGGTGGCGCAGTGGTTGAGTCCGCCTGCCGATGCGGGGGACACGGGCTCGTGCCCCGGTCTGGGAAGATCCCACGTGCCGCGGAGCGGCTGGGCCCGTGAGCCATGGCCGCTGAGCCTGCGCGTCCGGAGCCTGTGCTCCGCGACGGGAGAGGCCACAACAGTGAGAGGCCCGCGTACCGCAAAAAAAAAAAATGAAAAGAACTTGAAAGAACTCAGTGGAAATGCAGCAAGTCCCCCATACAATGTAGAAACTGGCATACGCGGACTTGGACACACACACACACACAGGCCACGTGGGCGTGATCTAAAGGTGAGGGGGAATGAAATAGTGCTCAATTGCTCCGTTCTCAGGCATGGGCGGGGGCGCAGAATCTTGGGAAAGCAGCAAAGAGAGAAGGAGATGGGGGTCAAAGTCGTGGCAAGTGGGGCAGCAAGCTGACATCTGAGGATAGATGGGCAGAGAGAAATCGCTTGAGGCCAGGACGCTAGAGGAACCCTCCACACTTTCATTTCTTCACTGTTCGTCTCAAACACTCAGGAAAGCCTGTTTTACGGCACCACCCTGTGCTGGCGGTGCCCCGGGATGGGGGTGATCGGGGCAAGCACAGAGCAGTAGGGGTATCAGCAGAGTGAGAGGAGAGCGGTAGGCGGGGCGCGGTTTAGCCCATTTGAATACGAGGAAAGCAAGCGGCCCAGGAGGCTGGGGTCTTGGGACTGTGCAGGTCCCACATTGCGGGGACGGCCTCCCCAGTCCTACTGTCACCCAGGGCCACCATTGTGGGCTCCACTGCTCACTGGAAATGCAAGCATGGGCAGGGTACTTACCCTCCATACTGCAGGTTTTGCCTGCAAAGCGAGGATAAGTCACAGAAGTGTGTCTCCAACACGGCCGAAGTTTTTCCTAGTGAATGAAATCACCCAGGTGCTGTCCAGCAGCGTCCAGCCCACAGGGAAAGTATTAACATTCAGGCGGCCAGTTCTGCAACTGTGCCCTCACTGTCTGGTCCAGGGACAGGCAGGAAATAGACACAGTGTTTGTTGAATGAATGATCTGAGGACTTCGTCTCTGCCTCTGAACCCTTCAAGCACAATGTGTCAGGGAGAACAGAACTCACTCCGCAAAGCCGCCCTGAACCCGCAGTGCCCAACCCACCAGCAGGTGCAGGGCCCTGGGAGCAACAGTCCCTCCCGCTCTGTGTTCCCAGGACACACTCGGGCTCTGGTGTCAGGGGCTGGCCTGCACCCAGGGCCAGAGGGCAGGTCTGGTGCCAAGGGCCCCAGGTGGGGAGACCTGCCATGGAGGGGCACCTGAGGGGCTGGGAGGGTGGACGAGACTTAAGGGGAGGGTGGCTAGATGCCCTTAGAACACTAGGGTTCCTGCAGTGCGCTGCGTTTTCTCAACCCCCCAAATTTTCATTACAGCTTTCTCCTAACGTTCAGACATTTTTAGACCTTTGGCACTGAGACCGTTTGCTCGTGAGTTTCCAGGAGTTGTACGACAGTGAGCAAAACAGAATAGGTAGCAAACTTTGAGTCAGCAGGAGCCTTGTGTCCTTGGGGAAGGGAATGATCTAGAAGGAGAGGCTGGGCAGGGCAGAGTACGGCAGAGAGTAAGACCTAGGAGGCGGTGAGATGAAGGTCTGACACAGGGCTTGGGGGAGGGGGGCAGAGGTGGACACGGATTCTCTTACAGCAAACAGGACTGGCCCCCATCCTGCCACGGCACAGAGCCAGGCTCCCCACAAGAAGGTGACAGGCAAGGACATCCCAGGCGAAGAGGAGATTCAACCACCACCACAGCCCGAATGACAAGTACCGTTTATTAGCTACATGAATGGGCCCAGCCATGGGTTGAGCGCCGTCCCATTGACCGGCAGAGATGAGCACAGTCACAGCCCCTTCTCCACCCGGGAGTCGTGTCCAGTCATACACTCCGGCAGAAAGTCTCTGTATGGAACACAGGGCACAAGTTCCCTTTGTTGGGCAGGGCGTCTCTCCGAATCACAGATGGTCCCCTCTCGGAGCGGCCAACAGAGCAGCTGGAACGTTGTCATATTCAATAAACAACCACAGGAGTTCCCAGGAGCCAGGGCTGGGGATCTCTGGTCCCAGCAAAGGTGTCTGAGAGGCAGGCCTTGGCTCCAGGCCCCCATGGGGCACATGGCCTCGGATCAAACTGGACTGGGGCCGACACAGCTTCATCACCATTTAGAACACTGTCCTTTGAACTTGGCAACACGGAAATTTACATCAGGCCTTGTATATAACCTTGAGTGAACCTACCGATCTCCGGAATAATTTCAGCAAAGACAAAAAAACAAAAAAACAAACAAACCAGAGGGACTCTGGCCCCAGAATCCCTCCCCACGGGAAAGATGAAGGGCACAGAGCTTTAGGCCAAGTTTCCCAATATCGCTGGCGTTTAGCGAAAAGGCTGGTCACGGCCACAAGAGCAGCACAGAAAGAAGCAAGGGCAGTAGAGTTCACATGACTACTTTATATTAAAGTTTATTACATTTGGAAAATCTACTGTACAGGGAAAAACCCATTGGATTAAGCAGAGTTTTGCCAAAAGCAAAAGACTATATCAACTCTTTGGAACATTCCTGATTCCAGCCCAGAGTCGGGCCACAGGAGCCAATCAAAGCGAACCTGGTCCTTGGTGGGGCAGCTCAGTGGCTGGTAGGGCCAAGACCCCTCTCGTCACCTTCCAGGAGAAAGTGTCCCCCAGACATGGCATCAAAGGAAGGGCTTGGTCCTCTCTCCTCGATCCCCAAGCCTGAGGCTCCAGGATTCAATTCTCACACAGGCTCCCCAGCATCCCAGCCACTTGGGCCATGGCCCTGGCCCCGAGTTCATGGACACAGGCATGACTGCTCAAAGAGGTGACCACCCACGGCAGCCGGGATGGGCCAGCCCACCAACAGGGCCACCCAACAGACATTCCATACCCTGTTGCACACGTGAGCGACAAACTCAAGAGACGACACACGAACTAAGCCTATATGTTGGCTTCTGGATTTGGTTCTCCTAGTCCCCAGAAAAAAAAAAAAAGTCTTCTTAATCCTGATGCTGCCTCCTGACCACAGATTAGGGAAGCAGGATGGGGGATAACCCAATCAACTTACTTAACTTACCTCCGAGTCTACTGGGCTATAAACAAAGAAACTAGAGGAAACATGTGCAAAACAAATTGACATCTAAATTAGACTCTCCACAAAACAAAGTGAATTCCGACAGAGCCCTGACCTCCCGTCCCCACCACTCAGCGGGACACACCCCCAGCCAGGCCCGCTGGTCTCTACCAGTAAGTGCTACAGACGTTGTCAGCCCTCAGCCACGGCACCTTCCAGCCATCCGGGTCCCGAGCAGCGGGGTCCCCTTCTCTCCAGAGTTGGGCCTGGGGACGGGCTGCTCCGGTTTGGAGAAACTGAGTCCAGCGTGGTGGGCTGCCAGGTGCCGGCTGTGATGGACAGGTCGGTCATATGCGAGAAAGCCCTTGTGCCCAAGTCTCCAGGAAGAAGTCAGAGAAGCGGAGACGAGCCCTCTCCCAGGCACACCCAGGACTCCGCGGGGAGGGGGCCGCCGGCGGGGCCGGGTGCGCCAGGAAGTGGCACGGTGGAGGAAGGTGGGTCTGCAGTTCTTCGCAGAGAAGGCAGGTGGGGGCCTAGCGAGCGGCAGGGGGAGGGGAGGGGCACCCCCCCATCAGGCGTAGAACTCCTCCTGTTTGCTGGGCTTCTGGTAGGCCCCGCCATTGGCTTGCTTCGGCTCCTCCAAGGAGTAGCTGCCCTCGTCTTTCTTCTTCATCCGGTACAGCATGAAACCCACCAGGCACACAGCAAAGATGAGCCCCACGAGGCCTCCGGCAACGACCCCTGGCGCGGGCGGGGCGGACAGGGGCCAGCTGAGCTCGGCTGCTCCTCGGGCTGAGTGGCGGCCCCGCCAGAGCTAAAGACAGCCCCCCGCCCCCCATCCTACCCACCGGAGAGAAAACTCACCTCCCAGCACTTCCTTCCTGTCCAGGAAGCCCTGCGAGGCCCCCCTGGCCCCGGGATCCCCTGGGGGCACATTCCACTGCTCAGGTTCCACAGTGGCCCCGGCTGAGTTCTCCGCGGACACGTCAAAGGTGAAGTCCTACGGGAGGGCAGGTGTGGGATCTGGTTTGGGCGACCGCGGCGAAGGCTGCATCCAGGTCCGCTCCCAGCTTCCCTGGTCACCTCTGCCATCAGCTCAGACACACCCCAACCCAGGCCCCTCTCACCACATCGCACTGGACCCTGCCGGACTGTGGCAAAGGTATCCCATCAAGTGATATAAAGCCCACGTTTTTATGTGAAAATAAATAGGCTCATCTCAGTGTAAAGTGTAACGTTACCACGATGCTATAAGACGAAAAATAAGACCTGGTAGAACTTTCACACTCGCCGTAGAGGCGTGCGTTTTAGGAAGCCCTCTCTTCGGTGATCCTGAAGGGCTCTCTTGCACTGGTCTCGTACTTAGTCTGTCCCGCCCTGGGCTCAGCCCTGGGGGCGGAAGAGGATGGGACCTCAGGACCCTGCCTTCACTGTGGGGATTACGATGTGCTCACAGGGTGTACGGGGTTGGGTGTGCCGGGTGTCCAGGCCAGTGCCCCCCACCCAATGCACTGTGCCCCACCAGGCACTAAGGGCCACCCTACCCACTGGCCACCCGGCATCCCAGGAAATGCAGAGGATGACAGTGGGCCGACACCCACCTGCTCGCCAGAGCCCTCTCCTTCTGGGAGCTGGGTGGGGGCTTCATCCTCAGCAGCCTTCTCGGTGGCAGCAGAACCTCCATCCTCCACGCTGGGAGCCTGAGGATCGAGCTGACCGTGACCTGTGGGGGCTGAGGTCTCATGGTGGTCAGGCTGCACGTCCCTGTGGGGATGGGAGGTGGCAGGCCCCTGGGCCGTGGTGGCTCTGGCTGTTGATGCCCGGTGGGTGGTTGGGTGCAGCGTGGTCCCACTGGGTGGGTGGGTGGCCTCCTTCTCTTGGGGGGTGAGGCCAGGTCCCAGCTCTCCTAGGAGCACCAGCCCTCCCTCCTCAGGCTGCTCTCCAGTCGGCAGGATGGAGGTGGAGGTGACCATGGTATCCGGGCGGCTGGGCTCTGGAGCCGTGGGCGTGGCCGTCAGGAGCCCCTTGTCCTTCCAGGTGGAGGGGGTCTGCTGTGACAAGGTGATATCTGGCAGAGCGCCTGCAGGGCCAGAAGCACAGCGTGTGGGGTGAGGGAGGCCCCTGAACATCAAGGCCAGCCAAGCTCAGGCCATGAGGAAGGCCTGGCCGAGGACCCGAGGCTTTGACTTGCAGGCCAGCACAGCAAACCCTTCCTCCCGTGAGAAGCTGTGTTTCCTGGGGCAGAGCTAGCTAAGGCGAAACTCAACTTTGGAAAATGAACCAGCAAAGCTGCCTTTTCTGCGAGCCTCCAATTTCCCGCATTTTTCCAAGCCTGCTCTGACTCTTGTTTTGCTTTTTTTCCCACATACATCTTCGAACCAGCTTATCAGTCTCAAAAAAAATCTGGGAAGGGATCTTTCCTGCGACCGCTGAAGCCCGCTCCCTGGGGGTGGGGGCATCCTTAGGGGCCTGAACGCCATATCCCCGTACACACACCTCTCTGGCCCCCTCCCTGATCCACCTGCCCTCTCCCCAGCCTCCCAAGTACAGAGGCCTGTGTCTTACGTCCTAGCTCCCGGGCCCCTGCCTAGGCCACTTTCCCCAGGGATGACCGTAGCCCTCTTCTGAGGTCTAGTTCAAGAGCACCTCCTCAGAGAGCACCACCTCTAGGCTCAAGGATTTCATTCCCCCAGGGAAAGGGGAAATAGGGAAGATAAAGGCACATTTATACCCCACTAGGCTCTGTGCAGCCTAATAGCTCCCAACAGCCTTATGAAGTCAAGATGTTATTCCCATTGTACAGATGAGGAAACAGAGGCTTGGAGAAGTCAAATCACCTTCCAAAGATTGCCCAGTGAGTTAAAAAGGAGAACACGAGCCCAAGTCTGTCTGCAGCAGGCAGCCCCCAGGACCTCGTGGAATCCACACCCTTCCCACCTCAACCCACACATGTTTTCTCCTTGCAGCACGGTCCCCATTCTCTTCCCTAGCATCACCCTTCTGGCCCAGCTAGGGGGGCTGTCTGACCACCACCCCCAGCCCACTCACCTGCGCCCGAGCCAGAGAAGCTGTCGGAGTCATCTCCAGAGCCATCCTGATCTTCGGGGGGCACGTTTACAGCCACAGTTTGCTGGAAAATGAACAGAAAAGGATATGAGTGGAGGTTTGGCTGGGGCCCTGCTATTGTGGGGTCCCCATCCTAGGTAGCTGGGTAAATCATGCACCCCCCTGCTCCCAAAACACACACACCACTACACACAGTACAGGAAGGAAGCCCTCGTGTGTGGCTCTGGAACCCTCGGTTCCGGGCTGCCCCTCGGTTCCCCGCCAACACACACACACCCCCTAGAAGCTCAGTCTGCTCAGGGCACCCCAGACCTCTCAGAGGAGCAGACAGACAACACCATTGGTGGGAACAGAGACTGTGGCCCCCCTGGGACCAAAGCCCACCCTACACTGAGAATCAGGTCCCGGGGGCCACGGACCAGGGAGTTTCAGGGTCCAAGAGTGGGGCTTTCAAGGGCCCCCCAGAACAACATCACAACCACCTGGCTCCAGGGAGGCCGCCTCCAGGCACACTGAGCACCAGGGTGCGGACACCGAGGGCCCCATGGCAGGGAGGGGCAGGGATGAGCGCAGGGTGAGTTGTCTGTGCTGAGGCAGGCCTGGCCACGATGCTCCTTCCCACACTCAGCCTGTTTTCTCATCCACTGGAAAAACTGGGTCCAGACCCACTTGGGGAAGGAAGGACAGGACATCCATCAGCCTGGGGATAGATGAGGCTGATCTAGAAGGGACCTTGCACTAAGGAGGCAAATGGTCTGTGAGCCTGGGATGGGCCCTGTGTGCAAAGAGCCGCCCCAGGAATGCTGCCTGCCTGGCCGAGCCTAAGAGGCTGCAGGTGCCAGAGTGCAAACATATACCCAGGCCCTGAAGCAGGGGCTGTGCCAGCAGGGCCAGGGAGTGGGACCAGGCGGAGGCAGGACACACCACACACAGCCGAGCTGGCATGCGCAGAAACTCGGCGGTCGGGGGAACCACCCTGACCCCTAACACTGGCTCCAGGAGAGCAGATGGGGAAGGGAGGACCCAGCAGCCAGGTGGCAGGAAGAGTAGCCGTAAGTATCCTGTTCAGCAACGAGACTTTGACCCAAATGACCCTGTGCTGCAGTCCCAACGTCAAGGGCCAGAACAAAGAATGAATGAAGAAGCAGGACCGCATAGTTCAGAGCACATGGGCTCTGCAAGCACCCCTGACCTCTGCCACTTACTAGCTGAGTGGCCCTGAGGACATCATTAAACCTCCTACGACCTCAGTCTTCCCATCTGTAAAATGGGGACGGCTGTAATATCTACATCCCAGGACTGTTGCAGAAGTTTAATGAGGTTATGCATGAAAAGAACCTAACAGAGCCTGGTTCATAGTAAGGGTCCCACCACCAGTGGTGGCTGCTCTAAGTTGGGGAAGTAAGAGCCACTCAGCCTGGGGAAGAGGATTCTGGGGCCTGTCTAGGAGGAGGGGGGGTGGAGGTTGGTAGGGTTTCAGGAGAAGAGGGGGCAGAAGGGAGCCAGTTTACGGGCAGCTCTGTGCAGACTTGTCAGAGGGCAGGCCCTGCCCAAGGCTGGGCTCCAGGGAATGGGCCTCCTTAGCCCAAGAGGCCTCGCCAGGTCCTGGCCACGGGCCACGGGGCCTCCCTCTTGAGTGGAGCAGGGCAGGGAGGGACAGGCAAGACCTTTGGCCTCCTGAGGCAGAGCTGGATCAGGTGGAGGCTCCATCCAAGGGCCCAGCCAGGTCAGAGGGAAGCTTCAGAAACGTGTAGAAACCGTGAGGCTAGAAATACCACTGAGATTCCTTTGAAAGTACAAAACCCACACTGTACCTCCTCCCCTCTCCACCGGCCTCCCGCCCCCCAAGAGAAAAGTTTTGGCTGCAGCAGGGCCTGCATGAGCTGCCACGGCCCATCCACAATGCACAGTCACAGTCCCTGGCCTCCACCTGCGCCTCAGGCCACATCCTGTCTGTACTGTCCCCAGGTGGCACTTCAAACACCTGTCCTGCCTCCACGGAGCTTCGGTGGAAGCTGACCCTCGCCTCCCCAAAGCTTACCCCCTCCAGTAACAAAGAACACTGTCCCCCAGGCAGGCACAGAGTGGGTACCCACACCCTAACATACCCCTGCCCCAGGCCCACGGCAGATGCTCCCAACAGGGCAGCTTGAGGGGGACAAGCATTCAGGGGACACGCCCCACCCACACTCACCCAGACCCCCCTTCACTTCGCCCAATACCCTCACAGCTCTGGAGGAGACCCTAGGCGGCAGTGCTCCAATTCCCAGCCTTGGACAGAAAGCTGGACCTGGAGCAGGGGGCCAGGGACGCAGCCACACCAGCCTCGGCCGTACACTGTGAAGCAGAAGCCAGGGTCCCCGGGCCCAGGCCCTGTTTCACAGACAGGGGCACTGAGTTCTGCAGAGAACACAACGCACCAGGACCCCGTCCACCTTGGAGGCACCGCCCAAGATGCAGGCAAAACCCAGGAGGCCCAGCCTCTCACCTACATAGAGAGGCCCCAACAGGTTAGCAGTTTCCCAAGAGAAGGGCTTTTCTCAGGACTAGGTAAGACTTTGAATCTGCCCAGTCCCTGAAAACAATTTGTTCCCTCATCTAATCGAAATCTTGTTTATACAACAAACTCTTAAGCAAACACTTTCTCCCCTGAAACCAGCTCCCAGGCCTCAGGGCAGCCTCTCCCCTTTGGGGCTGGGTCTCCACCAAGGGGATAGGCTGTAGTGATCTCCCAGACCTCCAGCTTGAACCTCCAGTGACAGCCTCAGCTCTCTGGAGAGGAAGTTAGCAGAAACTGCTGAGGTTGAACTTGGCTCACCAGGTGCCAGCTGACTCTGGAGTTTGGGGTGAGACTTCCGGTTTCACCAGCAGGCCTCCTGTGCTAAGAGCCTGTGGTCAGCTGCCTCCAAGGCCCCATATGGGGCTCTCCTTGGCACAGCCTCTGACACTGTTATGAGACCACACTGGCCACAACTCAGGGATGCCAGGGGTGGGTTGGCCCAGTTTGGAACCCACTCCAAACAGCCTGGGAAGACAAAGGCGAGCCAGCTGTACCTTTAATGGAGCCCTTTAACCTCTGTAAGGCCCAGGAAAATCAGTTTTTTGTACAACAAATCAAAAGCCATATGAGGGGGTCTAGATGTTCACACCTTTGGTCTGCTCAAGGCAAAGGCCAAGTTGGTCCTTCCCACACACAGCACAGATCCTGGAAGCCCAGGGCCTGAAAGGCCAAAGCCAAATTGTCCCAAATTGTTTTCAGGGACTGGGCAGATTCAAAGTCTTACCTAGTCCTGAGAGAAGCCCTTCTCCTGGGAAACTGCTAACCTGTTGGGGCCTCTCTGTGTAGGTGAGAGCCTGGGCCTCCCCGGTTTTGCCGGCATCTTTCGCTCAGGTCGGGAGGCAGACACGTGGAGGCTGGGGGACAAGGAACACGAGAGGAACAGCCAGCCCATCTCATCTCAGCCACACTGGTCTCCGGGCCACACCTGGGGCGGCATGAGGAGGACACCCCAAGAGACGACCTGGGCTCAGGGGTCTGGCGGAGCAGGAAAGGGAGTGTGAGAGGAGGGAGGCTTTCTCTGACACTGGAAGCATTTTCCATCCCTTTCTTACCATTATCCTTTGATTTGAGGCAGGCAGGGCTGAGATCAGCATCTCCCAGAGATAAGGGTGAGGGTCTTGCCAGTGGTCACCGGGCAGTGCAGTATCTGCAGACTTGCAGGCAGTGTTTGCTCCCTTCACCTGCCATTTCTCTCCCTCCCCTGCCCCGAAGGACCACCTTCCCTGATGGTCCAGCTGTTTTAAGGGAAACTTGCCTAAATCTCCTCAATGCACCACAGGCCCCAGGAGCCATGGGATGAGCATGTCATCCTCACCAAGTAAGAGTTCCTGGGCTTCCCTGGTGGTTAAGAATACACCTGCCAATGCAGGGGACATGGGTTCGAGCCCTGGTCTGGGAAGATCCCATATGCAGTGGAGCAACTAAGCCCGTGCGCCACAACTACTGAGCCTGCGCTCTAGAGCCCGCGAGCCACAAGTACCGAAGCCTGTGCGCCTAGAGCCAGTGCTCTACAGTGAGAAGCCACCCACGCACCACAACGAAGGGTGGCCCCCACTCAGCGCAACTCGAGAAAGGCCAGCGCACAGCAACGAAGACCCAATGAAGCCCTAAATAAATAAAATAAATAAATTTTTTAAAAAGGCAAACCATTAAAAAAAAAAAAAAAAAAAAAAGAGTTCCTGACCCCTGCCAGCAGCTGAGACCAAGATGCCAGCCCAGCTTCAGAGGTGGAGACAGGATGGCACGGACAAGCAGGGGCAGGGCTACCAAGGGCTAAGGGTCTCCGTCACCAGGTCGTCAGCCGTTCCCAAGAGCATGTCGGTAGTCTGTGGGCAGAGGGCTGGCAGAGAAAGCTTCAAGAAGGCAGCCTCAAGCCCACTCCTGCCATCTCTCACCCCACACTGGCCATAGGAGGGCCACCTCCATCTGAGAAGACCTCTGCCCAGGCTGGCCCAGGGGGCCTGGGGCTGTGTTGCAGCATCCCTCCAAGACACCTTGGGCATGAGCATGAAAGTTCCTTGGGAGGGTCACAAGTCAGGATACCAAGTGGGCATCTCAGAGATGTTCAGGTGAAGGGCTTCTAACTCCAGGCTGACTGAAGAGGTTGCCTGTCTGACCCCTGACCCCAGCACCCCATCAACCTGCAGCCATCAGATCCAAGGACCTCTGGTTTCCAACCCACACCCTGAATCACTGATGTGTTACCCGCTGCTTGATCTAAGTGATGGATAAACACAAATCCTTTAAAAAGCATTACTGAAGGGACTTCCCTGGTGGCAAAGTGGTTAACAGTCCGCGCTTCCAGTGCAGGGGGCCCGGGATCAATCTCTGGTCAGGGAACTAGATCCCACATGCATGTCGCAACTAACAGTTCACATGCCACAACTAAGGAGACCACCTGACACAACTAAGACCTGGCACGACCAAATAAATTAAAAAAAAGAAAAAAGCATTACTGAGGTCACGTGCCAAAAGTAAAATATCATGCAAGGTCCTTCGATAGT